TACGTATTATCAAACACTAAGATATCAATATTAATGAAAGTGAAGGTAAAGAATTGAGTATAGGCTCTCCTCACTTAGTTAAGACATACTCATTAACCGATGCCTCAGACTTACAGCAGGCTCTCTGATCAGTATTCATACCTAAATAATGTATATTAGAACTGATTTCCTCTATTCTGTTTATTGCAATATACAGTACACTCCTGTATAAACATTTAAAAATACATACAGTGGAATCTCAACTTATGATTGTCCCAACATACAAGTTTTTTGAGATACGAGCCAACATCCGAGTTACGAGCGAGCTTCCTCCAATTCCCCCTCAACTCACAACCCGCACACTTCGCTTGTTTATCTATGATTTCATGCTTTAACCCTTAAACTGTCCAAGCGTAGATCTACGTTTGCACCGCTAGCACTCCAAACATAGATCTACATTTTTTTTTTTTACATTTGAAAGCAAGTAAAAAACAGAGATCTACATTTGGAGCGCTAGCCGTGCAAACATAGATCTGCGTTTGGACAGTTTAAGGATTAATTCCATGGAAATCATCCTCTTTTTCTTCTCAGCACTGTTCTTTGCACTTAATTTCTTGGGACCTATGGTTAGAAAAAAGAAATTTGGCCAAATAACTGTAAAAAATGCAAACAAAGCACGACAAAAATGCTTCCTCCGCAAGGTAAACAGTATGCTACGCCAACTAGTGGTGGTGTTCTGAAGCTCCTCCTCATTATTATTACTGTAATACTTATTATTATTATTAATTTAGGGAACTGGAGCACAGATCCAATTCCCTAGATCAAGAGCCCCTCACCAGCGTCAATGTTCCTTGACGCTGGTGAGGGGCTCTTGATCTAGGGAATTGGATCTGTGCTCCAGTTCCCTAAATTATTAATAATAATAATAATAATAATAATAATAATAATTTTTTTTTTTTTTATTATCACACTGGCCAATTCCCACCAAGGCAGGGTGGCCCAAAAAAGAAAAACTTTCACCATCATTCACTCCATCACTGTCTTGCCAGAAGGATGCTTTACACTACAGTTTTTAAACTGCAACATTAACACCCCTCCTTCAGAGTGCAGACACTGTACTTCCCATCTCCAGGACTCAAGTCCGGCCTGCCGGTTTCCCTGAACCCCTTCATAAATGTTACTTTGCTCACACTCCAACAGCATGTCAAGTATTAAAAACCATTTGTCTCCATTCACTCCTATCAAACACGCTCACGCATGCCTGCTGGAAGTCCAAGCCCCTCGCACACAAAACCTCCTTCACCCCCTCCCTTCAACCTAATAATAATAATAATTGAAAGAATTAGAGGTAAGACAAAATGTAGGATTGCGGATGAGCAAGGAGGCTTCAGAGTGGGTAGGGGATGTGTAGATCAAGTGTTTACCTTGAAGCATATATGTGAACAGTATTTAGATAAAGGTAAGGAAGTTTTTATTACATTTATGGATTTAGAAAAGGCATATGATAGAGTGGATAGAGGAGCAATGTGGCAGATGTTGCAAGTACAGTGGACCCCCGCATAACGATCACCTCCGAATGCGACCAATTATGTAAGTGTATTTATGTAAGTGCGTTTGTATGTGTATGTTTGGGGGTCTGAAATGGACTAATCTACTTCACAATATTCCTTATGGGAACAAATTCGGTCAGTACTGGCACCTGAACATACTTCTGGAGAGAAAAAATATTGTTAACCGGGGGTCCACTGTATATGGAATAGGTTGTAAGTTACTAAATGCTGTTAAGAGTTTTTATGAGGATAGTGAGGCTCAGGTTAGGGTGTGTAGAAGAGAGGGAGAATACTTCCCGGTAAAAGTAGGTCTTAGACAGGGATGTGTAATGTCACCATGGTTGTTTAATATATTTATAGATGGGGTTGTAAAAGAAGTAAATGCTAGGGTGTTCGGGAGAGGGGTGGGATTAAATTATGGGGAATCAAATTCAAAATGGGAATTGACACAGTTACTTTTTGCTGATGATACTGTGCTTATGGGAGATTCTAAAGAAAAATTGCAAAGGTTAGTGGATGAGTTTGGGAATGTGTGTAAAGGTAGAAAGTTGAAAGTGAACATAGAAAAGAGTAAGGTGATGAGGGTATCAGATGATTCAGATAAAGAAAAATTGGATATCAAATTGGGGAGGAGGAGTATGGAAGAAGTGAATGTTTTCAGATACTTGGGAGTTGACGTGTCGGCGGATGGATTTATGAAGGATGAGGTTAATCATAGAATTGATGAGGGAAAAAAGGTGAGTGGTGCATTGAGGTATATGTGGAGTCAAAAAACGTTATCTATGGAGGCAAAGAAGGGAATGTATGAAAGTATAGTGGTACCAACACTCTTATATGGATGTGAAGCTTGGGTGATAAACGCAGCAGCGAGGAGACGGTTGGAGGCAGTGGAGATGTCCTGTCTAAGGGCAATGTGTGGTGTAAATATTATGCAGAAAATTTGGAGTGTGGAAATTAGGAGAAGGTGTGGAGTTAATAAAAGCATTAGTCAGAGGGCAGAAGAGGGGTTGTTGAGGTGGTTTGGTCATTTAGAGAGAATGGATCAAAGTAGAATGACATGGAAAGCATATAAATCTATAGGGAAAGGAAGGAGGGGTAGGGGTCGTCCTCGAAAGGGTTGGAGAGAGGGGTAAAGGAGGTTTTGTGGGCAAGGGGCTTGGACTTCCAGCAAGCGTGCGTGAGCGTGTTAGATAGGAGTGAATAGAGACGAATGATACTTGGGACCTGACGATCTGTTGGAGTGTGAGCAGGGTAATATTTAGTGAAGGGATTCAGGGAAACCGGTTATTTTCATATAGTCGGACTTGAGTCCTGGAAATGGGAAGTACAATGCCTGCACTTTAAAGGAGGGGTTTGGGATATTGGCAGTTTGGAGGGATGTGTTGTGTATCTTTATATGTATATACTTCTAAACTGTTGTGTTCTGAGCACCTCTGCAAAAACAGTGATAATGTGTGAGTGTGGTGAAAGTGTTGAATGATGATGAAAGTATTTTCTTTTTGGGGATTTTCTTTCTTTTTTGGGTCACCCTGCCTCGGTGGGAGACAGCCGACTTGTTGAAAAAAAAAAAATAATAATAATAATACGTAATAATAATGAGGAACTTCAGAATGCCACCACTAGTTGGCACAGCGAATGCCAAAACATCCAGTGAGCAGTGCACGTGTTTCTCACCATGGAAGCATTTTTGTCGTGCTTGGCTTGCATTTTTTACAGTAATTTTGTCAAATTTCTTTTTTCTAACCATGGGTCCAAGAAAGTAAGTGCAAAGGAGAGTGCTGAGAAGAAAAAGAGGATGATTCCCATGGAATTAAAGCATGAAATCATACATAAATATAAGCAAGGCGTGCAGGCTGTGGACTTAGCCAGGCAATACGAGCGTAGTACATCTACGATATATATTATACTACAGCAGTACATCTACAATAGGTACGATACTAAAGTGAAGTGAAAAAAAAAATGTAAAACAAATTGTAGCAATTAAGTTCAGCGATAAAGTGTAGCATTAAGTGAGAGGCATGTAAGTTAAGCTATTAAGGAATAGAAAAAGGCCAAAATGAAACTAACTCCTCCAATGTTGTTGTTGGAATTTTATAGGGCCACTGACAGCATACGCTGCTCTGCCTATCTTCCACCCTCAACCTCCGCCAGCATCTCTGCCTCAAGGTAAGTGTGTACATACACTTTATATAACCAGTATATTTCTTTACATTCTCTATTATATTTTGTTTTTATACAATATTTCTTATTACTAAATTTAAAAAGAAAAACTTTTGTTTTTCTTTTTGGGCCACTCTGCCTTGGTGGGATACGGCCGGTTTGTTGAAAAAAAAAAATATTTCTTATTTATAAATGCATTGTTTTAGTGTTTTCCTTATGAAACTAGTGATCTAGTGCAGTTAGCCTCACAAACACTCCATTTTCTCTTACAATAAGAGCATGGGAAGATATAGTCAGAGCGGGAGTGGGAGGGGCCGCCACCACTAGTCACATAATGACATATTTTATTCATTCTAGAGTATATATCATGTTTCTGTGATATTTATATTGTTTATTATGTTATATTAGATGAACTGTGATAGATAAATAAGCTGTAGAGTTGATATTAGCGTCATATTGAAGTATTTTGTCCTGCCTCCAGAGAGCAGGAATTCCGCTGGAATGGATTAATGGCATTCAATTAATTTAAATGAGGAAAAGTTACTTGATATATGAGCAAATTGAGTTACGAGCTAGGTCACAGAACAGATTAAACTTTTAAGTCAAGGTTCCACTGTATACCAGAAATTTTATAAATGGTGCAAAGGTGACATTAAAACAATATTGAAGATGGTCAGCATAAACTCACTACCATTATAGTATGCTCCTCACTTAGCGATGAATTCTTTTAAAGACGTGGTCTCAGGAACAGTACTCCATCGTTAAGGGAGGAGAGGCTGTATTATCAACACTTTGATATCAGTTATGTTGAAAATGATATATAACACCAACAAGTTGAAGAGTAAGGCACATGTGCAACAGTTGGATATCTTTATTATTGATCGAAATGTTTTGCCTACACAGCAGGGTTCTTCAGTCAAGTAGAGGCAGCAAGCATAGTGCTCCTCCTCCTCTTAAATCATCCAGACCTTCCTAGCTCACCTCCAGCAGCATTTAAGACTCCATTCTCATCCCTCAGCTTCGTACTATTCCAGACTATGGGACTGACCACCAGGCTGAGGGACTAACCACCTTGAATATTATTTTTCCAAGGTTGATGGACTGATTATATCGTCTTTACTTCAGTACCACACCTGCTGTCATTGTATTTGACTGAAGAAGCCTACTGTGAAGGTGAAACATTTCAATCAACAATAAAGATACGCAACTGTTGCACATGTGTCTTACTCTTCAACTAAGATATCAATATTACTGGAAGTGACAGCGAATAAGTTAATATTACCAAAGTAAACACAAACACATGTGACAAACCTCGTGACTGTGGTGGTTTTTTCAGAGGTGTGTACACAACCAACAGTACACACGTGTACACATTCCACATACAGTACACACCCAGAAGAAATCCGCCAGTATTCTGGATTTCCAGTTGTCCGAAAGTATAATCCCACATCCACATGCCATCATGCAGCTGTTGACAAAATAAAATAATAATAATAATAATAATCATAGGTAGTAGGTTGGTAGACAGCAACCACTCAGGGAGGTACTACCGTCCTGCCAAGTGAGTGTAAAACGAAAGCCTGTAATTGTTTTACATGATGGTAGGATTGCTGGTGTCCTTTTTTCTGTCTCATGAACATGCAAGATTTCAGGTACATCTTGCTACTTCTACTTACACTTAGGTCACACTACACATACATGTACAAGCACATATATACACACCCCTCTGGGTTTTCTTCTATTTTCTTTCTAGTTCTTATTCTTGTTTATTTCCTCTTATCTCCATGGGGAAGTGGAACAGAATTCTTCCTCCGTAAGCCATGCGTGTTGTAAGAGGCGACTAAAATGCCGGGAGCAAGGGGCTAGTAACCTCTTCTCCTGTATATATTACTAAATGTAAAAGGAGAAACTTTCGTTTTTCCTTGTGGGCCACCCTGCCTCGGTGGGATACGGCCGGTGTGTTGAAAGAAAGAATAATAATAATAATAATAATAATAATAATATTAATAATAATAATAATAATAATAATAATAGGCTAGGAACCTCTTCTCCTGTATAAATTACCAAATTTAAAAAGAAAAACTTTCATTTTTGTTTTTTAGGTCACCCTGCCTTGATGGAATACAGCCAGTGTGTTGAAAGATGAATAATAATTGTAACAATAATGTAATTCAAGATGTAATTAACAGAGACAGGGTCCTCCTTCAGATGTATGCTTCTGAGTGAAGTGGAGGCCGTGATTACACTGCCTTTTTCCCACTCACCTCCTGCAACATTGTATAGCTCCTGATGAGGCACTGGTTGCAGAGTGAAAGACCTAGAGTTAGCCCTTTCATATCCCCCTCCCTATGAATACTTCAGGATTTTGTGTGTGTATATATACTTACATATGTGGTTGCAGGTATCGAGTCACAGTTTCTGGTCCTGCCTCTTCACTGGTTGCTACTAGATCCACTCACTCCTGGCTTCAAGAGTCTTACTGTACCTCTTCTTTTAACTGTGCATGGGTGCTGCCTCTACCACTTCACTCTCCAGACTGTTACTTCTTGACAACTCTAAGGCTGAAGAAATACTCCCTAACATCCGTAAGACTCATCTAAGTTTTCAGTTTCCACCTGTGCCCTTTTCTTTCTTTTTCCCATCTTGGAAGCATTCTGTCCCAGTTTACTCTGTCAATTCCTCTCGGTAATTTTATGTCATTATCATATACGTATTCCCTAGTCCTCCTGTGTCATCAAGTTGAGTTCCCTTAACCTGTCCTCACAGGACATACCACTTAGCTCGGGATTAGTCTTGTTGCAAACCTCTGCACATTCTCCAATTTCTTGATATGCTTGACCAGGTGTGGGTCTCATACTGGTGCTGCATACTCCAATATGGGCCTGACATACACAGTAAACAGTGTCATGAATAACTCCTTACTTAGATATCGAAAAGTTATTCTTAGGTTTGCCAGGCGTCCATATGCTTCAACAGTTATTTTGTTGATGTGAGTCTTAGGGAATATGCTTGGTATGATACCAAAACACTGTTCTCCTTGAGTGAGGTTTACTTATACAGCAGATGAGGTTCTGGGCTACTGTAGGGACCTTCTTATACAGCAGAGGTTTCGGGATACTGTAGGGCCCAGTTTATACAGCAGTTTAAGTTCTGGGTTACTTTAGGGACCTCCTTATACAGCAGGTTAAGTTCCAGGCTACTGTAGGCACCTGCTTATACAGCAGGTTAGGTTCCCGGCTACTGCTGTAAAGCAAAAATATCTGTAAAGCGAAAATTGCTGTAAAGTGAATCATAGCTTTTTTCACTTTCAAATGAATATAAAATTCTGATGAAATGTTTACGCTATCATATATTAACTCTTAAACTGTCCATACATAGATCTACATTTTCCCTGCCAGTGCTCCGAATATTTTGAAAATTTTTTTTTTTTTTTTTTTTTATTAAAGAGGGCAATTTTCTGTGTGTAATAAGAGCCCCAAAAAATTTTAAGGGCCAGTACTTACCGAGATATAAGAATGCAAAGGTGGCACTGGATGCTCACCAGACGGCAACATCGAGTCCTGCCGCTCACAAAAATGTTGCCGATATACCTTTTTTCTCGTTTTTATTTTAATTTATATAATTTTTATGTTCTGATAATTACAATTTATAGTAGTTCTTGTGATTTCATAGCCAATCTGACACTAATATTAGGTACTGAAATAGTACTCAGATAGTCACAAACACACTGCCAGGTGAACATTTTCACCTGCCTTGGTAATTTACTATTGTCTAGAAATATATACAAAGTAATTATAGGTCTCAGCAATGTTTTAGACATGCTGGAGTATGTATGAATCTCCTTGAAGTATTATATTAAGACGAGTGTCAGTAAACTGATGACAGTGATGCAGTGGAGTGACAACTGATAATCGTGCACTGCTCCAGGAAACCCTGGCATTATTTGTTTTCACTGTTACACACAAACATGCATGTCTGTCAGTCTATCTATCTGTCTGTCTGTCTGCCTGTGTATCTGTCTTTCTGTCTGCCTGTGTGTGTCTGTCTTCCCATCTGCTTATCTTTGTCTCAGAGAGTGGCTCGTAAACTAACAGGTATTACACATGATGCAGAGTCGTCCTGATCAAGTGAAAATGCATAATACTTGCCAATCATGCTTATTATGCCTTATATCTAAAAGCCCTGTTAGCACTTTCCCAGAATTTTTGGATTACCCTAAGTAATTTACACTATGTATAATAACTCTACTTATGTGTACCTGTGAGAGAGAGACAGCCAAAGTCAGTCAGCTGGCCAGACTGCCGAATACATATTACAAGTTCCAGAATCGTTTCTGTACTTAAGACATAGGTTATAGGACATTCTGGCAGGATGACACTGCCAGTGGTATAAAAAATGAAAGGGTGTTGCACAAACGTTGCAGAAGGGTTATCGAGGTTTTTGAAATTTCCTCGATCACTTGTGGCCATAGCCATCTCAAAGCCACTAAACTTTAGGTCAACTTCATTTTGATCTTAAAAGGGGAGTGTTAATACAACATGACATCAGTGAATCCCTGGCATTTGCCACTATTTGATCTAACTGGTGTTCAGTTGAATTGGTGCTCCCACAAGGTACTAAGTGGTCCCTGATATTTTTAACCCTCAAGATAAGATAAGATAAGATTTCGTTCGGATTTTTAACCCCGGAGGGTTAGCCACCCAGGATAACCCAAGAAAGTCAGTGCGTCATCGAGGACTGTCTAACTTATTTCCATTGGGGTCCTTAATCTTGTCCCCCAGGATGCGACCCACACCAGTCCACTAACACCCATGTGTATAATTAAATGGTCCAAACAGATCGACGTTCAAATTCGTACTGCTACAAAAGTAATCTACTTTTTTTTACATATTTTCAAATATAAAAAAAAAAAGTAGATAAAAGTGTTTTTTACACGTTTTCAAATGTAAAACAAAAAAGAAGATCTACATTTTTTTACATACTTCCAGATGTTGAAAAAACGTATATATACGTTTGGACCATTTAAAGGTTAATACTACTGCACACACCGGGTGTTAAGTCCCATTCTATGCTGACCAGGCATCTCAGGCCAATCATGCCAAATTTAGAAGCAGGAAAAATAAAACGTTGATCTACGTTTGGAGCACTAGCGGTACTTACGTAGATCTACATTTGGACAGTTTAAGGGTTAAGGGTTAAGTAAGCAATACAGCTAGGTCTAAACAATGCATATGCAATACACACATTACTTTAAAATATTTTCATCCTTAGCTTATAATGAGTGATGAATATAATGATTGTAGGAAGTCTGAATAAAGGAAGAATGTGTATAATTGGAACCACTGCATTAGCAAAATGCTGTAAAGCAAAGCTCTCTAAAACGGTGCCCTCCTGTTTATCCCCTTATACAGTGGACCTCCGGCTTACGATATTATTTCATTCCAGAAGTATGTTCAGGTGCCATTACTGAATGAATTTGTTCTCATAAGGAATATTGTGAATTAGATTAGTCCATTTCAGACCCCCAAACAAAAACGTACAAATGCACTTACATAAATGCACTTACATAATTGGTCGCATTGGAGCTGATCGTAAAGCGGGGGTCCACTGTAGTTTAAAAAAAATTTCTTCCCTTTTCCACATCAGCAATCTATCACCAAGGCAACGTGACCAAAAAAGGAAACACATTGACCATCATTCATACAGCAGCTGTCCTCCCAGACAAACAGAGACATCACAATTTAGACAGCTCTTCAGAACACAACATAAAAGGTTATGTACATAAATAATAACATAACTAAGGAATACTATGTGGTATACATAATATTAGCAAAGACTTAACTTTGATACATTATACAGGGGAACCCTGGCATTTGAACTTAACTGGTTCCAAGATGGTGTTTGAATGTCCAAAACAGTATTTTCCAAGCTTTATCAGCCTCACACACTGGAGGTTGAACTGACTCTTCCAAAAGTCTCAAAGTCAGGTCAATGTCAGAGGTTACTTCAAAGCACTTTTGAAACAGGGCTTTCCTGTGAAGTTTCATATTACTGAATTGTAAACAAGTCAGTGCATTTGGACACTAGTAAAACATTCAAAGACCAGGCCAGTCTTTTCTGAACAAAATTGTTCGGACTCCAGTTCACTCGAGATCTGGTACATCTGAACACTGAGGTTCCACCGTACACAACTCATTACAAAATATGATCAGCTAGAATTAACTTACACGTTTGATGATAAAATCAGCTGCACTCAGAGCAAAACAGATCCAAGTGATAATCAGAACTACCACTTCCTGACAGCTTCTTTCTTCTTCATAAGCTGGTCCTTTCTTTGCAATAGTCACCAGTGCCTGAAGTATGTAGCATGAAGGAATAAAGAACAAAACTGTGGGATAAAACTTATGTAAACTCAAGCACTCACAAACTCAGATTAAGTCATAACAAACAACTGTCAATGAATAAATAAAAGGATGGATGAGAGGCTCAAACCGTGGTAACAAAACTGACACGTTCATCACTCTACCGCTTAAGCTACCAGTAACAGAAGCAGTAGAGGAATGGACCTGTCAATTTTGGGACCATAGTTGCAGCCTCTCACCCATCCTTTGGTTTATCCATTACATGCTCATCTTTAAATGTTATCAGACACTCAGTATAAACTTGCTATCTTGCCTAGTCAGGCCACAATACTAAATCATCCTCCTGCCATAATGTAAAAAAAACTGTGACTTCTTATTTAGGTACTAAGCATCTTACTATCATTAGCTCACTTTATATCTTAGAATTCTAGATTACAATATTTGCAGTTTTCACACAGGCCTACACAAAAGACCACTTTGACAACGGACATAAATACCCAGGTGTAACTTAATTAAGTACATAAGAATGGAGGAACACTACAGCAGGCTTACTGGCCCATACAAGGCAGGTTCTTCTCAAACACACCCATTCCCAACCATGCATCTGTCCAGCCCTTCCCCAAAGCTACCCAATTAGATGCAATAAAAAGAACAGGCTATTACTAAGTGTAGACAAAAAAAACTTTACATTTTGTGTTTTTCGGGTCAGCCGGTCTTGGTGGGAGACAACCAGTGAGAGAAAAAAGGCAACATATGGGATGGGGGGAGCTGATCTATATGTCAGGGAAAGTGCTGATCTCTATAACAGAGTTTCTTTTTTATATAGAGTTATAAAACACCACAAATGAAATAGATGAAGTATTGGTATTAGGATCTGAGAACTAAACCAAGTTAATATTGTTAAATGCAAGCTACCAGTTACACCTTATCAATGGCTGAAGGACCAGCCACTCAAAATTCAGTACTATCTGGAAAATCTCTCGGCTTCAGCCCCAATTATCTCATTGCTCGGAGATTGGAATTTAAGACATATGTAGACAGAACAATGTTGCAAATATTGTAATAGCAATAATAATCCCTGAAGGCAGAACAGATGAACATTCCCACGCAATGAAACTATTGAATACGCAGACAACCCGCACATAGAAGCTTACGATGATGCTTTGGTCCGAATTGGACCATTTACAAAGTTACACTAACACAAAAGAGTGAGAGAGCCAGTACATATAGGTAAAGGGAGACAAGGACAGAACCAAGAGAGGACGACAAATTAGTAGTAGTGGTAAGGCTGGCAGTGGAAGTAGAAAGTAGGGAGTAGTTTTAGTGGCACAAGAATTAGGAAGGGGAGGGAAGGGTGAAGGGGGGTAAAAGTAATAGTAGCAATAGTACTAGAAATGGAGTGGTGGTCATAGTGGTAGTAGTAGAAGTCAGGTCAGTCTAAGGACAAGATAAAGGAGCACTGCAGGAGAGCTAAGAGCCCACAAGGAGTAGGACCAAAAGCACACAAGGATGGGGGTAGAACTCAGTAATATATTTGTCTTAAGTCATCATGAAGTGTAAATGACAAGACTAAAAAAAATACCCTTGGCATTATATTCACAAATCACGATCATCTGGCACAAAATATAACCACGTCTAAGACAGTAAATTCAGATCATAATCAAATTGAAGTTCAGATCTATATATACATGGGTCTTGACCAACAAAATGAAAACAGTCATGAGGGTGTTTTCACCAAATTCATTATTTATTGGGATGAAATAAGTCATGGCCTTGATGAAACACCCTGGACCCAAACCAGTGTCTAAAAAGAATTCACTCAGGGGCACTAGAAGCATAATCAAGGCAAATACCACTAAAGAAAGTGAGAGATACACTGTTTACAGGTGAAGACAAAGAATCACAGAAGTTCTCAAGTGTGTTAGACTATCTGAAGTGTGAAAGGAAGTAGTGGCTAGAGATACACAGGATCTTCAACTCAAGCTGAATAAATTAATTATCCAGAGTTCCAGGAGAGAAAGCTAAAAGCAATTGATGAATTGAAATATAAAATACTTCTTTTCACATGCCAAGTCCATGGCAAATGCCACATCAAGCACTGACCTCTTGCTCCAAGATGGAACTTACACTGATGTCAGCAAAAAAATGAGTGAAATACTAAAATTTCAATATGATTATGTTCAGCGAGCTATTTCTCAGACTAAATGTTGACAATCTGAACAAATTCTTCATGAACAAGTTCAACTCAAATTCTTGTCAACGTTTACAAAACTTCGGACAAAACCCTAACCCTACTTTATGAATAAATTATTCAGAAAAGCAACAGGTTGATAAAAAAGACACTTGTGCAACATTTGGGTATCTTTATTCTGGAAACATTTCACCATACAATGGTTTCTCCATCTTGGAATCTTGATCCGGGGAATTCTTCAGTGTTTGCCTAATCTATAGGTACGACCTACTTCCATTAGTGGGTTTTTACACTGGTGACTCCACCTCATCTATCAGCAGTATATGAGATCCATCTCTGTGAATATGCTGTATTTATATCAAGACTGATAGACTGCACACATTGACTCCAGGTTGAGTGACTGATTACCTCAAACTCCTCATCTTCCACCGTTCTCTGCACTAGACTGAAGAAGCCACTGGATGGTGAAACATTTCCAGAATAAAGATACCAAAATGTTGCACATGTGTCTTGTTTATTAACCTCACTTTACTTTGGAAAACCCTTAAACAACAATCTCTTGCACTCTGTTAAAGACCCAGACTCATGGAACTCCATGTTCATCAAGTAACTCCCTATTACATACCTTCAATATTCACTAGAGAGACTATACATAGGGGTCATCCCACAGTCATTAAAAACAACAGATATAGCTCCACTCCAAAGAGGTGGCAGCAAAGCAATAGCAAAGAATTATAGACTGACAGAACTAATGTCCCACATTATAAATATCTTTAAAAGTTTTAAGCAACAAGATTGCTAACCACGTGGACTCACAACAATTTCACATCCCAGGGCAGCATGAGTTTAGAATGGGTTGCTCCTGTCTCTCACAACTACATGGTCTTGGATGCACTGGAAAACAAATAAAATGCAGATGTAGTATACACAAACTTTGCAAAAACCTTTGACAAGTGCGATTATGGTGTAATAGTGCACAAAATACATGCAAAAGGAGTAACTGAAAAAGTGGGCAGATAACTTTTTAATTTTCTAACAAAAATAACACAAAGAGTAACAGACAATAAAGTTAAGAGTCTGCCACAGAGAACAGCTCTGATCCCCCATGGCACAGTACCCTTCCCCCATACTTTTTCTTATCCTCATATCTGATAAAGACAGTGATATCAATCAAAGCATCATATCATCTTTGAAGATGATACTAAAAGTTGCATTAGTGATATCCACCGAGGACACAGCAAACCTCCAAGTGGATATAAACTAAGTTTTCCAGTGGGTAGGAGAAAATAATATGATGTTGAATGAGGACAAATCTGAGTACTCCACTGTAAAAAAAAATTGAGGAAATATAAGCTAGAACAGAGTATAAATCCACACAATAGAGTGGAAAACTAGCATGAAGGACGTAGGAGTGATAATGTCGGAGGATCTCACTTTAAAGAATCATAACCATGAAGAAAATGATAGGAGGGATAACAAGAACCTTCAAAACAAGGGATGTCAAGACAATGATGACCCTCTTTAAGTTACTTGTGTTCTCATGTTATGACAGGTGAAACTGCAGAATATACATAGAACCTTCACTGTATGTATAATTTCAGTCAATCATCTAAAATACTGAATACTGGTAAAGTTCAAAGCTACTTGACCTGTATGCCTTGCAATGAAGACAAGATACATTATAATTTACTCTTGAAAAAATGCTACATAGACTGATCACAAAGATGCCAACAGAACTCTCTCTCTCTATGAAAGCAAGAGGCACAACAGACAGTGGAAGAACCTCCAACGACAAGCAGGGGTGTCCCATAGCTCGATTGCTAATACACTCAGCTCACACACTGAAGTCTGGGGATCACTTCCCTGGTATGGCAAGAAACATTAGGACATGTTTCCACAAGACACCTGGTGTCCATGTTCACCCATCAATATAATGGGTACCTGGGTATTAGTTGACTGGTGTGGGTTGCATCCTGGGACAGAACTCACCTAATTTACCCAAAATGCTCAGCATAACAAGCGGGCTGTATATGTAGTAATATGTTACTGATGTCAGTTAGGCCTGTATACCTTGTACATGTAGAAATAAAATTATTATTATTATTATTATTCTTTCAACAAACTGGCCGCATCCCACCAAGGCAGGGAGGCCCAAAAAGAAAAACGAAAGTTTCTCTTTTTAAATTTAGTAATTTATACGGGAGAAGAGGTTACTAGCCCCATGCTCCCGGCATTTTAGTCGCCTCTTACAACACGCATGGCTTACGGAGGAAGAATTCTGTTCCACTTCCCCATGGAGAATTATTATTATTATGAGTGTACTGAGAGAAAACACAGTAAGTGTAAGGGGCCCAAGACTTCAGCAGCCTCCCATCATATATAAAGGGGATTACCAATAGACCCCTAGCTATCTTTCAGATAGGACTGGATAAGTTCCTAGTATTTTTTCTTTTTTTTTGTACCTCTGTAAGTGTGCTCAAATTATAAATAAATAAATAAAAAAATAAATATGGGTTATGGTTGATACATTGGACTGCATGTGGCCAGCAATAACAGCCTGGTTAATTAGACCTTCATTCACCAGTAGGCCTAGTCTGGAACTGGGCCATGGGGGTGTTAACCCTTAAGAACAACCTTCACCTTCAGTAGGTAGTTTACATATTTCAAAAATTCAACATTATGATCAAGAATAATGCACAACCGTACTTATTTACCACAATGGTCGTCCCCACTAAGGTAGGGTGATAAATATCAGAGAAAACACATTCACTGTCATTTATTTAATATCAGTCATGCCAGA